CCTTCTTCAGAAAGAAGTAAAGATAGAGTAAGGCGAACAGGTAGGTACATGAATCGAGAATACTTTAGAAATATGGATGAGCGAATTTAAAGTGATTTTAGTACCCATTTAAAATAGCTACTACGAGGAATCTGATTTCAAATAAAGGGCACCGTTTGGCGCATAAAGTAAAGAGGACGAATAACGATTGTATCCAAGAGTAATTAAGGAAAAAATCTGACGAGCACAATTAATCTACAAAAAGGCTCAGGAATGCAAGGTGGGCGGTAGATTCGTCCTCGCGCGGAATCACCATCAATTCTTGTGATACAAAACGAAGAAGAGTGCATCTTATCAGATTCCTGACGGCAGCGACCGATTGGGAATAAGGACTTACCTTTCAAAATAAATGAAACGTACAACAGTGCAATTAAGAAGACTTTAATAAAGCACCAAGTCCAATGGTAAGCACACGATTAGTCGTTCATACAAAGTAGCCCTCATATAGTTAACCTGAGTGACTTGCTTTGCCTTGAAACTCATGTGTAACCCAAGTGGCTGGGAACGACTTAGGGTCTAACATACTCGTATCTAACCATCACATACACGAATATAATCTTAATGAAGGTGTCGATAATACCAGGATGAGGTTGGATATGCAGTTTAGCGTCGATGTAAAAGCTCCTTTTGGATGCGTGTGGCACCCAGTTTCTATCAGGCTGTCTCTACAAATAATCTTGGATGGAATCGCGAATAGTTCCACCAACAATATATAACAAACGGCTTATCCAACTACGAGGCTTCAAAGCCTATCAAGCTTAAGGACAACACCAGGATGCCCAAGGACTGAGCATTCGATATTGGCACTAGAGAAATCAAAAGGCATGATAACTCTGCAAATTGTGTCTCCTCAATAATTTGCAGTCAATAGGGATTAAACCAAATAAGTGCACCGTAACCCGAAAGCCTCTTCTACTAATAAAGAGGACATGTTGCCATTATCCGGAGACTCCTTAAAATCGTGAATAAATTTTTTATAGCCCTGGGAAACGACTGACAACAAAGATACAAAAGAGGAAGAAGGAATCACTACTAATGTGCAACCAATTATGATCTTTCTTTCACATAAAACGCTTCAAAAGCATGATGAGAACTGTTCATCAATGAGCTAGTAGATCACTTGATAATAGTAGAAATACGAAAGAAATGGCTAGAGATCGCGCTTTACGATCGCCACGCGATATCAATCAAATGGAGGAGTGAATCTCAGCGACCTATATGGGAACACAAGGCGTAAATATGTCCCAGCCGCGCAATGATTTGTGTTATTTACTACCCAAATGTGTGAAGATGTCATTCAAGAAGCCACAGCTAAAATCGCGTCAACAGGACAATTATTTCGAAGAGCTTAAGGGAGACTTTTGCGCAGAAATACAAACATAACTTTATACACGATTACTTCTTTCTCATTGATCAGCGAAATTGTCTAATGGCATTTTTTTTGTTTGCCAAACATCAGGTATTGTTTATGATTAGCAATAGTTAATTTTGCCTACCGATAGGCACAGAGTCCGCCCGACGACTTGCTCCTAAAGCGACCGTTGCTGAAGAACGAGACGGCGGTGAAGCTGCGCCTGCTGCTGGCAGGAGTCCAATGTCAGTCTGCTTTTGGCGAAAATTTAGCCTCATTGTATTGGCAGCAGCCACGGCCATTAGGAACCAGGCGCGAGGACCAGTCAGCCCAGGAGGGACAAACGACATTGCATGAGCCTGACCGCCAAGGCTCATTTCTGAGTGAGCGCCAGTCGAGAAGCCCGATGAAGAAGATGGCACGGAAGCTTTCATCACCGGCACTA